GCGAAATCCAGGCTAGTTGTTTAGAGTTCAAAAGACAACCGCCAATTAAAGAGCAGTGATTTATCGATCGAACCAGTGACGTGTAAAACCCATTCGAGCAGTCTAGAGTCCTTATCGGTCCTGCTTCATGCCTCACCCTGCCTGTTAAGTTCAGAACATCAATCTCAGCCTCTGAGATATGAATCATTTATTTCAAACATACTGGGTTTATATACCAGCCAAACAGACCACATCGTACCATAAAATAGGAAACCACATCTGTACAAGACTTATCCAAATGTGGGAGGTAGTAATTAATAGACAGGGCATAATTCAAGAATGGTGAATCGTATAATAGTAGTTCATAAGTCAAAGTAGAGCTCATAATAAGAGAGGACATTAATATGAATAGTTTAGTAATTTAACAATTATACGACAAAGTTATACGCATAGTATTGGTCCATAAATGGATCCCAAAAGTTACCATTCATTATGCTTATCGGGACATAACAGAATATAAGTCTCAAAATCTGCTTATTTGTCTTATTATTCCATATTTAATGCTTCCTACCACTATGATTCCTACTATTTTGGTTTTTTTTTTAAAACAATTTCATCTGTGTTGTGCTAATGTGGTTTGACAACGTGAACCGATGCACATATATACCAAGCCCTAGGTTTTAGATGACTGACTGACCGACTGATATAAATCGTTGTCTAACTTGGATTGGTTCATGATTTCAATAAAATTTACATTTCCAATATATGATGATAAAAAGAATTCTTTCTAATAATTTTAAACGTATTGCGGAATAAGCGAAAGCATTTACCATGCCATTTTATACGATTGAAAAGAAAATCTATTCACTTTCGAGATTCATATAAAAGCTTGAGAAATTCATTTCACTACTGAGTTTCACTATTTCGTATTTTATGCTTTATAGTATAATTACTTATATTTAACTTGGTATTTACCCAACTCATTGGCGGCCTGTTTAAAGATCTGGGCTACTTGTTCCTGCAGTCTAGATATTTCAACAATTTATCTGTCTTTTGTTTGTTCTAATACATCATGATGGCTGTTAATCGCATAACCTATTTAGGTGCGTTTGTGAAAAGTTCGCGACATCTCACTGTACAAGTTACAAACGGACTAATCAAAGACCTCATGGTTCCTGACAATATGCAGCGAAAAGAATGTACATTATTTTGATGTCGATTTACTGGACTGCTAACTTCTCACTGGTGACCACTCAATATTTATCGCAAGGGTAGATCAAGAAGACGCCATCTGATAACTCCCTCTGTAAATTGCAGTGCTATTGAGTATATGTTTGTTTTAAAATCAATGATTTATGATAAGGATCTAAGGATATAACCGGTTTTCTTGTGATGTACAATCTCAAGAAAACCATTAGGTATTTGATGCAATTATCGTTATGATTCTTACTCTACACATTTCGGGAAGAATCTAAAAGTATTCCTACCGATCACAATGCGCAATATTTGAATTTCTCTAAGAAGAAACTTAAGAGTCGCATTTTCGAACTTGATTAGTTCATCCATAAAGTATTTTCATTCCTGATTTTCTCCCTCTTTCCCAGCAGAGATGACCCTTTACTCCATATATACAAAGGTATTTTAACTCAAATACACTTGGTTTTTCCTTTTTTTTCTACTTAATAATTTGATAGCCCGTAATTTATTACTGGATGTTGAATATTTAGTGAATACTTTTGTCAGAAATTTTCTTTGACTCAAAACTCGGGCTTCATGGTCTTCATGTAAACTATGATGTCGCTGGTAGACAAAAAACTCCATAGCAATTAGTTTTACTAAGAGAACTGCTACAAGTCTGAAGATATAAGTTATGAAGTAGTGAAGTAATATCAGAACATCTATTTCAGTAATATCCAATGCTTAAAATAACTCACTCACTCACTCGCAAGTAACGTAGAACGTGGAATGGATGTGAATTGGTTTAAGTTGCCGCATCATATAAGCACATTAAGATGAAATCATCAGTAGAAAACACAACTGACACACAAAATTGTTCAAGAAGAAGGAATTATTTGATGAAATATAAACAAGTATAAAATCATTTCCGATATCTGAAAGAAAACGAAGATGGAATGCATCTAGAAATTCATTGATTCTGGGCCATATAATCCAAAGTTTCTAATAATTGATTACGATGATTGTACCAACCTCAATCAGATACTTTATCCACATCTTCATACTTCAATTAAACAATCAATGTCTTCTTGGCTTGTTCATAGATTGATATAACTACTCATACGAAATATCTTAGATTATAGTACAAATACCCGTCAACATTATCAATATAATTTTCAATTTATATTTGAGTATATTCGTTCTCCTACTATCTACAAATACCTACTAGACTGACTTTTATTCTATAATATAAAAACAAATTAATCTAGCTGGTTGTTTAGAATTTTACACTCAAATCAATCACATCATTATTATGAAAGAGTATTTTCTCAATTAATTGTTATTATAGAGAGAAAGAGATCTGTGAATTCGGCTTAAAGCTATAGTATTTCCCTGGAAGAATGGCTACAATACTCTATTACCGAAGGCGATATGTATATATAAAACAAGCTTTAAACCTACAAGTGAATAGGAGTGTAGAGCCAGTCAAATGTCACTGAGCCCTAGCCAAATCATCCGATAGTTGGGTCACTGAATATCGAACAGATCATCGATCCTCGTCAAGCTCAAGGACAACCAACGTGCATCAGTTAATCGTATGCTGTGGACTAGCCCATGCCGTGGTGGTCTCGCTATCTTCTCTGTACTCTTACTAATACATTTTCCTATCAATGTCCTTTATGTTATGCGGTGTTCAAAGTAGCCATAGAACTTTGATATATTGGAGGGGTTCTCCAAAATAGATGCTAACCACGAGGTATGAATTTGAAGTTGGATGGTTTGTCATACCATTCACGTCTGACTTAAGTAGACCTCCAATCATTCGACATAGATCATTTACATTGGTGATCTACAGGAGAAAATGAATTTTTTGTCAACCACTGAACTGTAGATTCATTTAAGATTAATAATAAAATTGAACAGCTGTTTCTTTATACTTTTGAACAATTTACTGATAAGAACAATACTAGAAAGTGAAATAATCTTCTTTCTCTTCTCTTTGTCTCCGTTTTCTTTTTACACACTTCTGTTGAAAACACACAAATCACTTCAAATTTCAGATTGTACAACTCAATTGTCATAGTAACTAAATTCTGTTTCATTATGAAAACTATAATATCCTACTGAGTATGATGTAAACAAAAACATATACAGCATTTGTTTGAATTAAAGTTTTTCAATTGTCTACTGAAATAGTATATTCATCTTAAGTAAATTATAATATTCATTGTTCACTGTTGGGATTATAACAATAAACTTTAGTTTAATACTATCTCTCATACTGTTACATTAGCTAATGATAAGTTTCCACATAATTAAACTCTCCTGCTTTCTTATTACAACTTCAATAATCTTTTATAAAGTTAGTCGATAATAAATAAGTGATTATTTCGATCATATGATTGCCAAAAAAATGAGATCCGTTTACAAAGATATTAATTGTATAACTGAAGTATGAAAATGTGGACAAAGTATCTAGTTGAAGTTGGTGCAATCATCATAATTAATTAGTAGAACTTTGGATTATATGGCTCAGAATCAATCACAATTTCCAGATGAATTCCATCTTCGTTTTCCTTCAAATATTGAGTTTGCAAAAGATTTTATGCCTGTTTTTATTTCATCAAATAATTCCTTCTTCTTGAATCATATTGCGTGTTATTTGTGTTCTCTATGGACATTAATACGGATATTACCTAAACCTGTAAGGCCAGTGAAATGTCACTGAGCCCTAGTCGAATCATCCGATAGTTGGGTCACTGAATATCGAAGGACAATAAACGCGAACTAGTTCATCGTATTGCATGAACTGACCCATGCATTGGTGGTCTCGCTATTTTCTGTTTACTCATTCTTACCAACACATTTTCCTATTAACGTTCTTTATGTTATACGGTCTTCAAAGTAGCCATAATACTCTGATACAACGGTAGGGTTCTCCAAGTTAGATGCTGACTATGAGGTGTGGCTTCGAAGTTGGCTGGTTTGTCATACCATTCCCGTCTGACTCGAGTAAGCCCCTAATCATTCGACATAAATTATCTACTTTGATGATCTATAGACTTCTACATGTATGTCTAGTTCTACATTGATTATTATTTAGCAGACTGATAATAATATAATAAAAAAGTTTTGGTCACTATTCAACATACTACTATCCACTGACTTACAAGAAAATCTATATTTTTTGTTTAAAAGGAAACAATCATGTTACATTGTTTTACTTGTATCTTCTCATTGTTATTTAGGACTGCCATTGATCAGTCTCTTGTTGGCGTATGTACATCCTGTGTGGATTGCCTCGGAGTGAACATTAACTCTGAAATGCAGGTACATCCAGGTGACCAGTTCTAAATAGGACGAAACACACGTCAAACTGGATTCCACTGCCAGCCACTATCCACCTTTGCTTAAAAAGCTTGCAAATTAAGGCTATATCGAGGCAATACGCACATGATGCGTATCAATGGGAAGATTCCAGTAAAACAACATCAAATGAATTAAAACTTAACTCCATTGAACAAGCAGGTGGCTAACAGGACTCAGTAGTTAAGTGGATAACGCAATGGAGTTTGAAGAGAACGGTACTGGATTCGAGTCCCAGAGTGAACATTAACTCTGGGATGTAGGTGCATTCAGCTAACCAGTCCCAAATAGGATAAAACACGCATCAAAGTGGATTCCCCTGCTAACCACTATCCATCTTTCCTTAAAATCATGTTACAAGTTTCTAATGTAATTTCTAATATTCTAAGAGAATTATTCAAATTCTTAAAATGAGTAAAATTGAAACAAACGGTATTCTAATTAGATAACTCCAATTTTGAAATCTTTCGTTTCTATAAATGTACAACATAACAATTTTGCATAATAATGATATCTATCATCATCATCATCATCATCATCATCATCATCATCATCATCATCATCATCATCATCATCATCATCATCATCATCATCATCATCATCATCATCATCATCATCATCATCATCATCATCATCATCATCATCATCATCATCATCATCATCATCATCATCATCATCATCATCATCATCATCATCATCATCATCATCATCATCATCATCATCATCATCATCATCATCATCATCATCATCATCATCATCATCATCATCATCATCATCATCATCATCATCATCATCATCATCATCATCATCATCATCATCATCATCATCATCATCATCATCATCATCATCATCATCATCATCATCATCATCATCATCATCATCATCATCATCATCATCATCATCATCATCATCATCATCATCATCATCATCATCATCATCATCATCATCATCATCATCATCATCATCATCATCATCATCATCATCATCATCATCATCATCATCATCATCATCATCATCATCATCATCATCATCATCATCATCATCATCATCATCATCATCATCATCATCATCATCATCATCATCATCATCATCATCATCATCATGAATATGTGAACAGTTTTTCAAAAGGGGTTTTTATACAAGGAAAAAAACTTTTACTGCGTCAATTATGCAGCAAAACCACAATGGCATTGTTTAAATAATCTTGATTAGAATAAGCATAAATTCGAATAGAGGATTATTTGAAATAATTCCGTTGTAACAAAAAAAGGAAAGAAAAGAAAAGAAACGTAAAGGGGGATCTGTCAGTCTACATTCCTATATCCATACCTATGTATGAGACAATATGGGAGGGGTGTGGGTTGGGGGGGGGTTAAGATATATGAATAACCCAAGTGATTTTATGATAATGTATAATCCATTTTTTTAATCAATTTTATTCATCATTAATTAAGTAGAATATTGTCGTCATTATTATGTTTATGATTAGATTTCAATCTTTAATGTATATATATATTATGAATATTATGATTGGATAATTATTACATAATAAGGTCAATTTACCCTAATACTTAATGACTTGATTAGATTAGAAACAGTTAAAACATAATTTCGAATAGAGGAGAGTAAACACATAGAAAAACAAAAAAAGAAGACAAATGGGAACTTGAAACAGATACATGCACAAACAAATAGTAGCTTTTGTAATTAAATACTGACAACACAACACCACTATCACCACCTCACCTCCCCAATACCCCTTCAATCATACACAATTTGTGTAATCAATGAAGCGAATTAAAAATGTTTGATTTAGTCTATAATTACTCTTATTCTTATTTTACAATAATGTTCATAATCAAAGAAACATTGATGAACATAAAGTATTTTATATATATATGACAAATTGTTATTCCTTACTTAAAAGAATCAAACAATGGGCTTAACACAACTTATTGACATTATCAGTTCAATTGCCATTTACCATAAACAAGTAGTCTATATTACAATATGTGCTATGGTTTATGATTTGTTTTATGCTTTAAATGCAGTAAGAAGTTATATTATGTTGATGCAGATTTCAACATACACATTAACAAAAGTATCATATTTTGATTACGTAATGATAATTATGAATGTTTATCATGATGATGATGATGATGATGATGTGTTGAACTTGTAATTCATTTCAGTTACATTCAAACCCTTGATGGCTTCAATGAATAACATTGAAACAATCAATAAGGTGAAAACTATAAGATTGTAGTTTAATGACATGGTAACACTTATGAATTGAATAAAATCTACTGTGAAATAATATAGAACACTTGGATACTATCTGTCCAAATCTACAAACTGTTTGTTACTAATCAGATTGAACTGATTTGATAGTATTGAATCAAAATGTTTCCAATACTTCAAATGACTGATATTGGCTATGTAAGCGCTTCTTAGTTCCTTAGAAATCTACTACACTAGAACCTTGAACAGAAAAAAAGGTGAGAAGTATCAAAAGAAGATTTAATTCTAATGTTAGTTTTGGTAGTTAACAGAAGGATATTTATGTGTTAATGTGAGATATTCTGAAAACTTCTGGACACATTCTGGATTCATTAAAAAAAAGTCGGTATTTGTTCATTTCAGATAATGAAACCACAATCCGTCCCATTTCACCATTCATTTAATAGTTTCTAAGGTACTCAGATTACTTTTTGAACTTTGTTGAATATTTTACTCAGCTTTTAAACACTTTTCTCTTGGAGTTATCAAAACATTGTAACAGAAATAGAAATAGCAGAAGGGGTTTTTGTGGATATTATAGTAATTTCAATAGTTGAGATCATGAGTCAATTGAAGCTAGACCATCATGGAAAACCTGGAAACAGTGGACAGCCGTTTTGTCCTATTGTGGGTCACCTCAGCAGTACGCATCCATGACCCCGCCTCTCGAGATTCGAACCCAATCTCGCGCGTGAGCTCTTGACCACTAGAGCACTGAGCTGGCTGGCATCCAACAGTGTTAATTTCTAACTTCAACCAGTCCACGAAACCGAGCGACACATCAACCATTGTCATCAGTGAGTGACTATCTCACAACATAGCAATAGAAATCCCTTTCTCAGCTTAAACCATGAAGTGTCACAACAAACGAACACTTTGTATCCATTTCATCTGTAAATAGTCAAAAAATGTTCATATAAAACTTATGTAACAATGATTAGCTGTTAATCAATTTTGTCTAAAAGAAAAAATAAACACTGTCGATCAATTCTGCTCCTATGGAATTGTACATCATATATAATATTTGACATAAAGATTTGTATGACTATAATGATAAGTAGGGCAATCAGTATGAAGATATTAGTCCTGCAGAGAGCCAATCGTAATTCCTATAACTCAATGTTAGCATCTGTGTCTGGGACACCGTGTAACTTCAAATCACATTTCATGAGAATAATTAGTTTTTAAACGTTGTAGAAATGTCTTCCTGATGAATCTCAGCTAAACTGAAGGATAAGTTCATGGTATACTATAGATTACCTCCAACCACTATGCATCAAATAAAATGTACTATAATATCAAATGAGTTACTATTGACAATATTTCTACTCGTTTGATAGAATTAGATCAGTACTAAGGACTAAACATGCATGAAATTGCTTATTACTCTGTAATTAATCAGAAGATCAAAAGATTCTGCTGTAACAATAGCAAGATTAAGAAGTCTATTTATTACAATAACTTTCAAAAAGACACGTAAGTGTAACATTAAATCACCACCACGTGAACTACATATATTTTTTGAAATATAAGTTGAAATTAAAATAACGAATTACTACCATTGGTTCAGTTATTGATTTGTTAGAATGCCATAATTCAACCTATTCCCAAACTTCATTCCTGTAATATCTTTGTCGGTGGCAGTTCTAGACAGTTTATTGTCAAAGTCGCATGGTATGTATCATGAGATTACTATGGATAGAATTTCCTGTGTTCTTCTGATAGACATTCTACTGCGATCATGAGTAAATATATAAATATAACTGGAAGTAATATAAGAAAAACTTCATGTCTATGTTAAACTCTCGAGTAACTTTTTCAGTGTTGTAAATTGAGCTCAGTAAAAATCAATAATATTCTATCTGATTGTTGGTGATTGTGTCTTAGCGACTTAATCATTCTTATTAAGTATGATATCAATAAAAATACATTTATTTCTACAAAGAGGCAACCAGTTGTAGAGTTTCATTTAAGAGTAAAATGTCTATCGAATAGTCATAGTCCATTATAAATTGTTTTATTATTCTTTACACAAATGTCAAATGAATATGTAGAGAACTGCATGATTACCATTAAAAAACTAGATTTCAACAATGAATTTTTTTTGTAAAACACTTGATAAAATTCAATTGGTATTGTTTGCTTGTATCTAAGTAGCTGAGTGGATAACGCGATAGTGTTTGGAGCGAAGGGCAGTTAGTTCGAGTCCCGGAGCGAACATTAAATCTGGGATTCAAGTAAATCCAGCTGATAGATCACAGATAGGAAGAAATGCGCATCCTAGATTCCACTGCCAGCCACTATTCATCTTCGCTTGGTAAAGTTGTTAAAATGCAACTAATTACAAATCCAAGACACTTTTATAGTTGATAGATGGTGAAAATGACCCTTCATTCCTTGCAATAATCAAGTCTGAGAAAATTAATCCCAACCAGTAGACAGTGTTGTAAAACATGACTATAGACAGGAGGAATGTGTTTATTGTAAGAAGTACTTATATAGTATATGAAACATAGCCTTCGATCTTCCATTTTAATCTTTTTGGTGTGTTCTGCCATCTGAATTATATTCCTGTCTGATCTTCAGGTGTTCTATCAATTTCGTGGTTTCAATGCACTGAAACTCTTCACTCCTTCTGACAATTGTAGCAACTTCAACATCACGTTCCGCTACACACTACGTACAAACAAACTTGTGAGTAACATCCACGATAGTGTTAGTTTTTAATTTCTAAATCTGAATTAATGCTTGAAACACTCCTGAAACTGAATCATTTTATCAGATATATTGAAGATATCGTTGCAAATATCATAAGCATATTCTTCTTATTTGTATTCTTGACTCAAGTTCGCTGTTTTCCTAACTGTACTAAACAAGAAATCTAAAAATGTCAGACCTAATAGATTTTTCATGATTATACCATATTTTTGTTGGTAATATTAACTCTTAACTTGAAATTTGTAAAGTTTCATGTTCAAAAACAGTAAAGTTTTTATTTAGAGAGCAGTTCAATTAGCGTAACTTTATGATATCTTGTAATGGAACAATTCTCATAGAGAATTTGGACCAAAGAAGACTAAATGACATCATCCCTTCTACATGTTTACACCTGACCACTTCATTATGCTCTTAATTAATTGAGAGAAAAATCGAATAGCCCTGTAATATAAATTTAATCAATAAGATCGGCTCAGTAGTCTAGAGGTTAAGCGCTCGCGCACGAGACTGATAGGTTCTGGGTTCGAACTTCGCGAGGCGGGGTAGTGGATGCGCACTGCTGAGGAGCCCCACAACGGCCGTCCAGTGCTTCCAGGTTTTCCATGGTGGTCTGTCTTTAACGGACTCATGATCTTAACTTTTAGAACAAGTAGAATTAAAAATGGAATGTGATGTGAACAGGGAAACAAGAAGCCCTGATAAATTACGAAAGCTGTTTTCCAGGACGCTATTTCATTTTATGCAAAGCTTGTAAAACACTAGCATTTATTTTTGTCCCTAATCTATTCTACAGAACATAAGTTTTCGTTCGATGTATGATTCATTGCCATACCCTTTTCCGTTCCGAAGCTATTGTAATTTAACTAATATTTTACACCCTGTTTTCTACTCTAATTCCCAGCTTTGGACATAATTATATTTTTCCTAATTATTGTACGTTTTGGTCGGGTTAGTCACCTATTTATTCATGTACTTTTTTACACTAATCCGAAATCATAAAATCAGGATATCGGGAATACATCGAGTAGTGTTCCAGTTGTCTTGTCTTCTCTCATTCGTGTTCTTGTCAGTCAATCAGGTGACAGAATAGTTTCCTTCTCTCTACACCACTTCGAACTCACGCGTACTAGCCTCAAGGTTAGGTCGGTCAGCCTATCGCGCCAAGGTCTTAATCTGGATTAGATAAGTATCCTCAGCACCAAAA